CCTGGGGCTGCGCTCTGTCCAGTGCAGATGTGAGACATCGCTCAGGGAAGCCCCAGAGAGAGGGCTGAGTCTGGGTGTGTCCAGGTCCGGACCTGGCACACCGGCTGTGCTGGGGGATTCTCAAAATCCGGGGCTCAGTCCTCTGCCACTCTGGCCAGTCTGCCCTGCCCGCTGGTCTTGCTCTCTGCACGAGCCTGTCCCTCTGGGATCCGGGGCCAATCTCAGCATCACTGGATGAGCACCTTGATTCTCCTTTGCCCCAGGGAGAAACAGGCTCAGGTTCTGGGGCTTAGGACGTGGACAGCTTTGGGCCATCACGCTGCCCTCATGCTGTCTGAGCACAAACGGGCACCCTTGTGAACCCACAGTTAGGCGGCACCTGCGTGCTGCATGGCCTCCTGGCATCCTTGTTGAGAGTTCTCGGTGCTGGCTCACAGAGCCAGCCTGTGTCACCCTGAGTGTTGACATGTGATTTCCAGGGAGCTCGGAGCACCTCGGTTTCAAGCAGGACCTGATGAGGTGGCGGGTCCAGCTTTGCCTGCACCTCACCATGACACATGGTGTTCTGTCAGCTGCAGGCGGCCTGTGGGGACGCCGGGATCTCGCACGTTCACATTGTTAAGTGGCAGAGACCTGCCTGTCGGGGGTGTCCCTGCAGAGGCCTTGGGCGCGGGGAAGGTGACATCCAGGGAACCCAGAGAAACCAGCAGAGGGATGTGTCCCAGCCCCCGCCGGGGAACTCCTGTAAGGGTGCTCTTCCTGTGAGATCGCACCGTCAGTGCACCGTCTGCACACGAGAGGCAGGGTGCATGCGTGTGGGTGTGCAAGCGAGTGTGTCTGGCTAGAAGCTTTCCTTCTGCCCAGCATCAAGTCACAGACCCGGGAGACACCCAGCTGTGGACAGAGGACAGGGGCCGCAGGTGTGTTTCGGGTCTCGATCTCCTGCCAAGCCCTCGCCCCGCGCCCTGTTTTCCGCCCGGCTGAGACAGGCAGCTAGAGATCTGGCCACCTGGGGATGGGGGCTCATCCAGGCAGGCAGGGAGCAGCCTGGAGGCACAGCGTCAGGAAGGGTCCCCCGCCTCCTGGGGGTGCTGCCTGGAGCCTCTGTGGGATTGACACCGGGTGTGGCTCCCACTCGCAAGTCCCTGGGTAACTAACGTGATGGGACCCTGTGAAATCTTGGCCAGTTTTCCCAGCGTGTGCCCTTCAGGGTTGGGAGCCGGCAGCGCTCTGCGCGGGGTGCCTTCTGTGTTGGTGGTGGAGCTACAGCACGCACCCCCCACCTTGCTGTTCTCACAGCGTGGCCTGGGCTTAGCCGGCCAGGGCTTCCAAGGGCTCATCCGATGAAGGCTGAAGGCAGAATGGTGTTGGGGTGGAGTGTCTGGAACACCGGGTGGTGAAGCACGCATCCTGAGGGGGGAGGCGTGGTCTCGTCGTCCCAGCCAGGCTCCCAGTGGCTGAGATCCGTCCCAGCTGACAAAGGTCCTGTGTCAAGTCTGTCTCTGTTAGGTTAGAACGGCTCAAACAGTGTCTGAGCACCTGCTGTGCAGGTGTGTCTCAAACTTGCCAGGGAAGAATCTGCTGGGAGCTGATCGACACAGATTCCCAGGCTCCTTCACCAGCTCGGGTGGTGCTGGTGCTGCCGTCTTGGAAAAGTGCTCTTGGCAACCGGGACCACCCACATCCCAGAGAACCACAGTGGTGGGGAGGCTGTCCCCTAGAGGGAAAGCGGCCAGTCTTGGCTGCCCAGGAGCAGACACCCTGGGTCCACTTCTCTAAGCTGCTCCCATGGAGGGCCCCAGGCGAGGGCAGGTCTGTGTGCAAGGCTGGGCCCTGGGTGGGGGGAACCCTGGTCAGAGATCCGAGGTGGCTGAAGCGGCTGAGTGCCTGGCAGGGCAGGGCTGTCTGTGCACCAGGCTGCAATGCTCCTAGCAGTGGCTGGAGCGGTGGGAAGCCACGCCCCTCCCTGAGCCTGTTGTGCCTCCCTGGAGGACAGTGGTGGGAGGGTGGAAGCTGACCTCCAGGGTGGCGGCAGAAGCATCATTCCCAGCACCTAAGGCCAGCTGTGGGATACCCGCAGGAGGTCGGCACCGAGCTTATTGCCGCCTGGTGCCCGCCAGGGCCCTGCCGGGGGCCACTGCCTGCTCCCATGCACCCTGCACCCGGGGCCTGACCGTCAGGCCCCTCCTGCGCTGGCCAGTTATCTCTGCTGCTCCTCCCCTTCTGTGAAGACCAACGTGCCTCCGAACTCTGCCAGGCCGCCTACTAGCACATAGCCCTCCTCCGTGTTCTCACTCCTTCCCTTTGCAGCTGTGATCCCGCCACCTCCCACCACTACCTGCCCCACCTCCCTTCTGCCTCCTCAGGAGACAGGGTGGGCAGCTTGGCCGGCCTGAAGCACCTGTCCCCTGGTCTGCTGCTGACCCCTGGTGCCAGGAATGACCACCAGCGCTTCCTAGAGCCAGGTGTTCCCAGGGGTGTGCAGGGCTGCTGGCAGCAACGACCTGTGGGAGATCTGCACCCAGGACTCTGGGGTTGGGTGGCGGGTGGCCTTGAACATGGACTGTGTGACCTGTGTGCTGAGGACCTGGGACACGGTGTCACCTGGTCAGAGCTGGCCCCGGAGAGGTGCAGCTGGCACAGCATGGGGGGCAGTCAAAGGCAGGAGACCAGTGGAGAACGGGATGGAGGAAGGCGGGGGAGGGGCAGCAGATGGGCAGGGTGGGCTTCAGGGGGGCGGCTGTAGACGAGGGGTTTGGGGGAGAGGAGGTCACCCGTTGTCTCTGCTAGTCCTCTCACTCCCTTGTGACGTCAGTGACCACGTGCCACTCCCTGGGGCCAGGCCATGGATCAGGTGTCCAGGAGGCAGTGGTCAAGGCTGCGAGGTCCATGGGGGAGGGGCAAGAGGTAAGAGAAACTAGATCCCTGGAGGGAGCGCCCTTACAGGAGGAACAGCCAGGTGGGTAGGACGGGGGGGTTGGGGCGGGTCTCCAGACAGGCCACCTGGACCGGGGAGCAGACTGTGCCAAGGTGCCTACAGGAGCAGCAAGAAGCCCAGAAGGCCTGCAGCAGGGTGGGGCGCCACCTGGGCTCCCAGCCACCCAGCCAGGCAGCAGCCAGGGCCTCTGGCAGGGTGCGGCCGGGGCGGGGGAGCAGCGGCAGGCGTCCCCGCAGGCAACCAGACGTGCTGGCAGGTTTGGAAGCGGTGGTGGAGAGAGAACCAAGGGGACCTGGGAGCCAGACGGTGGACGGCGGGTGGGCAGAGACGGGTCTGGCGAAATCACAAGTTGCTTCTGATGGTGAGGTGTGCATACGTGAGGGTGCTGCACTGTCACCCACTCCAGGGGCAGATGGTTGATGGTGACATCTGCGCAGACATAGGGAGAAGACGCAGGGGCGAAGGGGGCTGGCTAGGTCTTGGCTTGAGGAGGCGGCAGGGTGTGTGGGAGACGGGGTCCGAGGAGGGCGAAGGGATGCTGGGGGCTGTGGGTGGGCGAGCCCAGCACAGGGGACCTTGAACTGGGCGAGGACAGTAGGTGCCTGCCCTGCATCAGTGGGGGTGTCGGGGGATGGGACAGAGCCCAGTTCCAGGGCCCGGGACCTCCCTGGCACAGGGCTCGGCCTGGCCAGCAGTTCAGGCCTGAGGAGAGGGTCAGGGGTCAGCTCAGGCTCTGGAGCTGCGCTCTCAGAAGGGGCTCCAGGATGGTGGAGCCCCTCCTCCCCCACTAAGGGCATGGAAACTGAAGCCCTTTTCAGTGCAGCACTGCCTCCCACTGGCGTTTGCAGGGATGGGGTGTGCAGGATGCCTGCCTCCCCTTCCAGCATCTGTGCTCACCAGCAGCCAGGGACGGACATGCACTTTGCCTTAGGTTTAACGTTTTGAGAACAGAGCGATGTCGGCCTTTGGTGGCCAGACTCGGGGGTGGAAACTCGAACTCTCCACGCAAATTAATGCAGAACAATGCAAACGAGGAGCAGGACTGAGGGGTCCGTAAGCCTCCCAGTCCCAACCCAGGAGGGCAGAGTCAGGGACGGTCCTTACCAGGAAGGCAGCTCAGCTCCCTGGGGCCCTGGCCTGTCCGGTGGCCCTGCCTGGTCACGGCCTGGTACTTAGGGCCAGCGGAAGGGAGTGTCAGATGGGCCTGAGGACTGTGCTTGTCCAAACCCAGGCTCCCTGGCCTCACCTCTGAGGGCTGGGTGGGAGGGAGCTTGCCTTGAGCTGGAGAGTGAGTCTGGCTACGTGGCAGGAAGCACCTCTGGTATTTGGGGGCAGAGAAAGTCGGTCAGATTGCACTTTAATCTGCAGTAAGGTTCTAGGTAAGATTATATTTGGAAAAGACGCTACTTCAAGCTAAGGGACACCAGGCTGGACGGTGCCCACCGCCACCTTGTTGCCAAGTGGCAAGACCACAAGTTGTGGCTTGGTCGTGACTTATGCTGCCCCCGCAGGGCAGACTGGGGGTGTGTGACATTAGTCCTTGTGCCCACTGCCACCCCCACTCTAGGACAGGCTCCCCCTCGCCCTAGGGGTCGCTGTGGGCCCTGGTGCCCCTCCCTGGTCCACTCTCTTTCCTGGGGCCTGTCTGCTGTTTCGCCCTTCTTCCCCCATCAGCTGGGGCAACCACAGGGCTGCATCCTCCCCCGTGATGCTCCCATTCCCGGAATCCTTGGTGGCCTGTGGCTGTACAGGTGACATCGAGGCCCCAGACCCACGCAGACAGGAGAACTGTAGGCTGGTTAGGACCCAGCTCTTCCCTTTGGTGTCTGGTGATCAAACCAGAGCTTCTGGCTGCGTCCTGGGGTGGTGGGAGCAGTGGACCTAGAAGGGCCGTGCCTGCTCTTCCTGTGCCCCCAAAGGGGCCCAGGGCAGTGCCATCAGCCTGGAGTTGGGCTTCTGACTCCTGTCTGCAGTGGCCTGTGTGTTCTTGGTGGTGGTGCTGGCCATGCGTGCGCCTACCCTGCAGGGCCCCTTTGCTTAGAGAACTAGGCTGCTCCACCACTGTGCTCATCAAACTGAACTTCTTTATTAAGTGCCAAAGGTCCAAGCGGGGTCTGCCCCCTGCAGCCCCTGTGCTGAAGCCTGTGCTTGGAGCGTTTCCCAGGAGCAAGGGTGCCCGGGCCCGTGGCGGCCCCTAGAGAGCAGGCGCGCAGGTTCCACCCTCCGCGCGCGGCGCTCACTTCACGTGCTCGGCCGCGTGCGAGGAGCAATAATACTTCTTGTGGGCGATGAAGGTGGACAGACTGCTGAACTTGATGTTGCACAGGCGGCAGTACCTGTGGTTGCCGTTGGGCACGGGGGCCGCTGACCCCTGGCTGGGGGTCTGCACACCCTTGTCCGAGTGGGAGGGGGGCGCCGGCACAGCTTCAGGGGACGGGGCCGGCGGCGGGCCGGGCCGTGGGCTGCCGGCGGGCGGCTCCCGCAGGTCCTGGCCGTTGAGGCCGTCGCGCTGGGCGGCGGGCGAGGGCGTCCGGGCCTCGGCGCCGGGGCCGGCCGGGGGCTTGCCCAGCAGCAGGCCGTGCGCCAGGCGGAAGTGCTCAATGAGGTCGCCGCGGACTACGCCGTTCGGGGGGCAGTAGGGGCACACGACGGCGGGCGGGTCCTCGGGGGAGGCGCGCAGGCGGCGCAGGGCGGCGGGGCACGAGAACTTCTTGTGCGCCAGGTAGGCCTCTAGGCTGTGGAAGCTCACGCGGCAGGCCGTGCACTCGTGGTAGTCGGCCAGGGCCGGCAGGCCCGGCGCGGGGCCCGGGGTGGCGGCGGCTGGCGTCTGGCGCCGCGGCTTTTTGCTCAGGTCGATGGGGCCTTCGGCAGGATCGGAGCAGCTTCCACCTCCACCTCCGCCTCCACTTCCGCTTCCGGGCCGCGGCGCCGGCGCCGCGGGCGACGTGGGGGCGGGGCCGGGCGGCGTGGAGGAGGGGCCGG